GTTACTGTTTTACTTGCAAACAACGGGAAACGTGGAGGATGCGAAACTGCGGCAATCATTGGCAAGTGTTAGTTTGTGGAGTTCCCACGTTGCCACGGGTCGATCTGCATACAAAATTCCATCAAAAGCATGTTCCGAGGGTTACTTGCTCCCCAGTCGCGATTTCTGATCCCCTCGCTCGGGTTGGTGCAACTCACGCAACGCCGGTTGCAACGATTCTGCCTGCAGCACAATGGATCTTCTACGCTCTGTGTATAGTAATTGGAAACAAAAGCCCAGAGTGCATCTATTTTTATTATTACACAGCACGTGAAACATAGTGTTCTAAGAAAACCGTGAAAGTATTTGCTCCCTTGAAACAATGATGCTTTTGGCTGCAAAATATTTGCCTTTATTAACATAAATGTTTCTATAATAGTCTGATTCGATAGCTCGTCATTTATATAAAATAATGCCATGGTGCAATACTTTTTAACAAGAAATGACGTATACCTATTAGCTATTATTTTCTTTATAATTAGTTAGAATTTTGAGTATTCATGTTTCATAGAAATAAATGGAATGGTAAAAGTCGGTCCTCGAAGCTGGTTGACCCTGTCAATTCTCCTATGTGGAACGTGATTAGATATTTGGTTCCACCCCCCGTTTCGGTGAATGGTTCAAGTCTCATGCGAATCGGTGGTCCCTACGCCAATGCAGGAGGCACGAAAAAGAGTTTGCCATCGGGCGAACACTTTCCAGTGCGCCGTGCGCTCGCCGAGTTCCACGACCGCGTTTCGGGACAACAGCCACGGTGCGCCAGTGTGGCCAGGCAACGTGGGGGCATCCCGTCCTTGGTCCGTGTCAGTGGCATAGACCATACAGGGTCCGTTCAAGGTCGAACCGAGGCGAGCCGAGCGGCCGCGAACCGGCACGACGCGACGGCGGCGAGGCGAGGCGAGGCGACGGGCCCCTCGAACCCGAGCACGGCCGACCGCTTTCCAGTCCCGGTTCGTTTGAGAAGTGGGAGACGAGCCCGAGGTAGGGAGACGTTGCCGACGAGTCGATCGAGGGACCGGAGCCAAGTGTCATCCTATACCCGTGTGCCTGCCACGTCGTTTCGCAGCGTCTTAACGCACATTAATACACGCTCCCCGCGTACACTAAGATGACATCCGCGGTTTTCGTCCCTCTCTCATTTTTTTCCCGCCGCTGCCACGACTTTTTTCACCCGTTCCACTCTCCCCTCCCACCTGTCCTCCCCGCCGTATCTTCTTCGGTTCTTCTTCGGTCGCTGCACCTCCGTCCCTGTCTCTCCTCTCTGTCCGCTGGGTCGTTGTATTCTTTCGACGGCCGCTTCTTTCCTCGGGATGATCTTTTTGTCATCTCCGGTCGATCGTCCCTGCGTTACCGAGAACCGAGCTTTTCGACAATGATTCCTGACGGGTGACGAATTAAATGAAATCTGGGGCCCGTGATCGATCGGCACACGGCCCACCGAGATTCGCCAGGGTCGATGACTCTGGTCCCTCCGAAGTATCTCCTCGATGCGGCTGGAGATTCGGGTGGACGATTTTTCTACTTAATTGGCTCCTTTGCCTGGGCCTATCTCTTCTCGTATATAAAAACAGCGTCGTCCTTAATTTGATTTCATGATTCGGTGATCCAATTCTATGCTCGGGTATCTTTCCATTAATCTAAATAAATCAACCTGTTACATAGTACATATTATTATTATACCTGTTCCAAGAGTATCTCCGTAATGAGTATAGTCATCACGTTAATTAATTATTGAATGTCTTTTTAATCAAATAGTTCCTGTCGTTTATCGAGCCACGGTTTTTCAATGCGAATTCCATAAATAGCTAATTTACAGTTAAATCCCATCCTTTTGGGCAATCACTGAATTTATAAAAGGCCGGTTCCGCGAAACCCACAATTTCTGGGTCCGAACGTAAACCGGCCGGGGAGATGCGACCTTCCCCGGCTGAGGATTACGGCAGAGCCGGACACGGACCGATTTTAGCAATCTCTGTAGTAACCGCGTGATAGTCTGATGTAACAGGTTTCTCCGGACAGTGGAAACCAACAACCGAGCGCAGGATTTCAAGGTTCTTCAACAAGAAAACCCATGCGACGCATCGCATCGATTCAGCTGATTTCATCAAGTTTTTTTGGAATATAAAAGTCAATGAAGACAATCACTTGAATTATTAAACTGCAAATTTTTATGCGAAACGAAACGCACATGATTTCCATTAAAATATGTTTTTCAACAATGTAATAATGTTTGAAATATTTTCTGCATTTCCTATGAATACATAAAACAAGCAATCTAATGATTATGAAACAAGTTCAGGTCGACACAAAAAATACAGTTGCATTACCGCTTTACCTATGATAAAAAAAAAAGTGTATGACAAACCGTGTTACCGAAATTATCATTCAGGTTACGAGACTCGAACATGAGCCAAGCTGCGCCGTAAAAGGGGTTGGGAACAGTTGATATGCGGCAGTCACCGCGCGAGTTCCGTTAAATCCGGGGCAACACCGTTGGCCGGGGTTAGATACACGAGCAAGCGATAGGTCGAGGTCTCCTTGTTCGATTTTCACGCGACGCGTCCTTCCGGCTCGCTCCGTACGCGATAAGCATCGAATAAAAGCTAACTCGCTCGTCGTTAATGCAAAGTGAATCGCGCCAGCCGGAACATGCGACTTGTCGCGGCGCGATGACAACCCTCGTTGGGTCGCCTTATGGCTCGCCGTTTCGCTGTCACGTCGCGTTCCGAGATAACGGGCCAGCCGGCCAAATAGGTCTGTCTCCCGTGTCCCGTGGATCGATAACGCCGCGTCGGCTTCGAACGAGGCCCTCTAACGCCGATTCATATTCCATTCCGATTCGCTCGCGATGGAAACGTTTGTTCCGGTAACGAGGAGCGTCGTTAAGACTCGGAAATGGACATTGAAACGGGACCTCGGGAACAGCTTAGGTTCTAGGAAGCTGTAAACCACGCTATAGTCTTCTCTATGCGAGCTGACCCTTGCTCGTAAGTTTTGCTAGTTTCCAAAGGTCAATACTCTGTCATTTGCTTAGAAATTTAGTTAGATATAATGCTAATTGTCGTTTCGTCACGGGGACGAGGCATTAGTTGAATTAGCGGAAGAAAAAAATGTGTAAGAATGAGGAAGGCACCATGGAAGTTTCCTGATATTTTCCGATGAATTCATCGCCGGTCCACGCGCCTTTTTGCGATTGTAATTCACTTCCTCGGCGGCGTGGCGTGGCTTAGAAAAAGGAGGCAGACCTCCGCAATTAAAATCGTCGAGCGGGAGCCGGGACCCTCCGTCGAGGTCGACGCACCCGGGGACCACGCTGGTTCTTTCTTTCCTTCCTCTTTGCGCCCGCTGAAAATCGCAAAAACCGTGGAAAGCATCTTCTCGGCTTCTTGCCGCGTCAGGCGAGGCCTCTTTTAATTTGCCAGGCGTCTCCTTTCGCGCGCGAGTTCCTCCTAGTTGAAGGGGTTAGCGAAACCAGATAAAGAACGCGGCTCGTTAACCCTCATCAGTTTCCCAATTTAATTTCTCGTTTATTAAATTGACAAGCATTAAATCATGATATCAGTTATACAATGAATCTAAATCACTTTCGTGTTTCCTTTTGGTTAGTTATCGTTAATGTCTACTTCCTCGTTTACTTTCATTTTTCCTAAGCCTTTCAGTTTAAAAGATAACGCTGCCAATGAGGAACAGTTGCTGCGTATCCACTTGTATCCTCGTGTCATGATTTACGTGATGTCATAACACGTTTCATGATTGCATCTGCAAAATTAAAATGTAAATCAATATTAATGTAGGATTATGTTCTCCAACTGATCTTCAGTCAATTGTAGGAAATCTGTTAGTATTTAATGAAAAATGTTAATCAAGCATTGAAGAAATAAGGCATAGATTTATTGATGTCTTCGGATCTTGTCTCTTAGGGAAAATTAATACGATCAGAAACGGATCATTGTCCCGAGTTGTACGATAATGCAACGCTTGCCAGTTCTTAATGGTGACTTAAGCGAATACGCGTCTTCAGCCTCTGTACTTAACCAACGATATTTTTCCCAGTTTCCTCGCGTTTAACGGTGATGCATTTGTTACGGTACATCTCAGCATTCTTCTACGTCTGCTAACAATAAGTACATATACGGTTCACGCGTAACATCCCGCCGCGCCGACGCCCTTCAACAATGAACCGTGCACGGCTCTCCCCTTCGTCCCGCTCCACCTTTCTTACCCTGTTGCCCGCGTCTCGTTGCCATAAGAGTGTATCGCCATAAAAGAAGACGCACCTGTGTCGGCAGGAAACGTTTTCCCGCGCAGGATGCGTGAAATTAGCGAGTAGGAGGATCTATCGATGGGATATCGCCAGTTTCAACAGGGAAATTTATACGACGACGTTCACTCGTCTCGCTTTCGTTCACCCGACGTCTAATACAAAATTGACTAAAATAATTAACTGGGTCATCGATAATTATTTTAAAAATAAAATCATTATAAGAGTTTTTTTAATCTTTGTATAATAAGTTATTATGGGTAGAGACTTCAATTATTTTTTACAATCTTTCTTTGTAGAATATGTTCAACAATTTCTAAAAGATTTTCTTATATTTCTATTATTATTGGGAATTGTAATTTTATAATAAAAGAACTGCATTCGATAAGTTATAGGCTTTATGAGAGGAAAATAAATGCATCAATAAACGTCTTTTTTACAAACTGAGAAACATATATTAAAAATTTTATATTTTAGTAATTATTGATTAATCTATGAGTCATCTGCTGGACACCGTCCATCATTCATTTTTTTAATTGATCTAATATTTCTTAACGATTAGGCAATCGTTAATTGAATATATAGAAAGAATCGCCATCCGGCTATCTAATATCTTGGGTCCTCCGCGAGTTGTTTATTCCAGTCAGTGAACTCTCTCCCTTTCTTTCTTTCTCCAGGGGATCGGTACTCTTTGTTTCAGCCCCTTCGGAAGAGTTCACTCGGGCTGGCTCGCTCGATGCGAACGCGCGTTCACTGTTGCACGACGAGAATGTTAGCCGAGGAGGCAACAACAACGGCAGCAACAACCGGTGCTCCTGGTAAGAGTAACTAAATCCACCGGTCGCCTCGACCTTGGCTGCCTCTGACACGCGTTCGCGAGCTTGAACTTTTCCCCCGCACGCACAGCCCGTGGATAATCGATTCCATCGTAGAAAGCGATGCTGGCTCGCATCCTAATGCGAAAAAATGTTACCGTTGGCTAATTTTACCGGCAACAGGTGGAAATCGGAATTAATCAACTTTAATTGAACTAAGCATTTAATGTTTGGTATATAATATAATAAAAACAACGAATGATCCATTCAACTATTCTATAACTTACGAATCAACTTAATTGCTATAAAAAATCAGAATATCCATTAATTGATAATCTGAATATTTTACGAATAAGTTGCACATAATTCCACCGTTAAATAGAACTTCGCCTCTGTCGTTTGCCATCGGTCAATCCAATTCGTTCCGAGACGCGTATCTGCATTCTATACTGCGCGACGTACAAAGAAACAGAAATTCCGGGACGCAAAGGAGATTTATTGGAACAAAACCCGGCATCCGCTGGCGTCGACCCAGTAGTATGGTATCCCATCAGCTGATCCAACCCATGAAATGAAAGGCAGCTCGAAATCGAGGTTCGCGACGGGATGTAACGACCGCCAAAGAAATATCAGTCACTTGTCAGCATCCACTTCTCTTATCCCAAGCAGACAATTCCACGGTTTACACGTCGAGGAATTTCACGGCCCGAAATGCATTAATCCCTGCGCTATTAATCGGCACCTGTTCTTAAGAAGAATTTTGTACCGTCCCGTAAATAGAGTAGAATTTACATTACGTTTGTACGTATTTTAATATTAACAAAAATGGCTAAATTCGGTTTCATTAAAATTTGTATGAGCAAAGAAAGAAAATACTAATATATGTACTTGTGTAGTCGAAGATAATATATTTCATGTACTATGTATTATTTTTTGGGATTTATGTTAAAATGATGATAGGCTGTACGTAAATCCACGAATAGAGAATGAGATAGCCTTGACACTGGTTCGCGTCGGACACACGTTCGTCGGCGAAGTTACCCACGTGCAGAGCCGTGGATAATCGATTCGATCGTAAAATACGCTCCTTAGGCTGCCACGGACGCGCCAAACCGTCCTGTTCTTCTACCACTTTCGATCTCCTTGCCCTCTGTCCCTGACCGTTGATGAACCCCCTCGTTCATCGAAACTTTCACTCACTTCTGCAACACTCATTTCTCCTTTTAATATTCATAATAACAATAAAACGAGTTGTAAGTATTGCACATTTTTATTCCATACATTTCTCAACCAATTTTGTCCTCAAACATTTATAAATGGAATGTGCAAGATTAGAATGTGTGCAATGCATCGTATATTAAAAGCTAATTGTTTATCATAATGTTTAAGTGAAGAAATGAGTCTCAATCTGAAATTGATATTAAAAATCCGTGATGTAGTCATCACGTTGTTCGACTAGATTATGAAAACACCTGAGTTAAATAATCTACACAGTCAGGTGTTTAGTTTTTTGGTAACCCATCCATTACGCCTCTTTTATCCATGGAGAAGGCTCGTGAAATAAGATCTCCGGCATTCGCTAGTCGTTAGTATGATACATATGTACGTGCGGACACTTGCTAGCAGCCTGCAGATAGTGAAGAATTAAACTGGAAATGCTTAAGCGGCGAGATAGCAGCTAGTCCAGGGGCTGTTTCCCGTCGGAACAGTAGCTAATCAGCGGTATCTGATAAGGGTTACGCCGAGGAAACGAGATTAGGATCGGTTCGCGAGTCAGTTGCCCTGCCGATGTTGGTACTCTCGTGGAAACTGCTGCCCTTGCTTAATTTTACGCGCGGTAATTCGAGCCGACGCGACGTCTAATTGTACCGATACCTCGTTCCGACCGCGATTGATCACCTCATCGAGCCTCGAGGCATCATTAATCTAGTTCAAAGAATACGAATGAATGTATGCATTTCTACGAGCTTGAAGAAATTCACCAGGATGGACTCCATCCTCGATCATTCCTTTTTCCACAGTTTATTTGCCTTTATATTTTTGCTGCACTATAATTGCACGACTTGTTCTATAGTCATTCCTTCAAATTTCATTGTCTTTTAACNCAGTTTCTATTTAAATATAGAAAAAATTATAGAAAAGAAATTGGGACATTTACTATGCTCGTTACTTCTAATCCACTTTGTCATTTGAACCTGAACCTCGCTTTACAAAGGGTTCAGGCCTTGAAGGGAATGGATGGACGACCCTGTGAAGGGCTAAAATCTTGAAGGGAACGGATGGACGATGTCTGGAGAGGCCGCTATCTGTTGGATCGGCCGGTTCATCGATCCAGTCCAGCATCCCTTTCCCCTTTCTTCATTGGCCTCTGGTCCCGTCTCCTCTGATTCGTTCCCTCGGACGGGAGGTCAAAGGTGACTCGAGTGCACCGGATCGCAGCTACGCGCCGCGCCAGCAAAAGGTCGTCCCTATCCCCATGTACACATAACTCATTCGATTCTGGATCAACACACGCGTAAACAAATTACAGCACGTTTCTCTAGATTAGAAGTTACCATTTAATTTTGTCTCATTATTTGCCTTCCTGCTATTCATTTCTTTTGTTATTTTTTATTAATCATCTAATAGCATCTCTGAGAAAATGAATGCAGTTTATTTATGTGAATGTTCGTCCAGAATCAAAGTTACCTGTACAGAATAATTTTTTTGACATAATCACACAAGTACCTGAGGATTTACAATTAAAAATGAAATCCTTCTTTGATAATCCATTAAATATCACAAAATATTCGTTGATGCTCTTACGAGATGTTTTAACTTTCTGAGTGCAAACCGGGGTTGTACACAGCATTTTGGGGTTGGTCTGCCGTTCACTTTTAGACGGCGGCCTTTGAGTTCACTGGCGAATTACCCTGTACTTACTTTACTCTGCCTGTGGTTCTCTCCCTCTCTCTCTCTCTCTCTCTCTCTCTTCTCTTTCTTTAGTCCTGGTCGGTTGTAAGCCGCGGAAGGAGCAGTGGGCGCCTCCGCGTTGTAGTTATATTTAGATTCGCGCTGACCGCCGGTCTCGTGCTTCTTGTTTTACATTTAGCCGGGCGCGGGCATTATACTCGGGTCTGAGGCCCCCGCCTCGCGCGATTCCGCAGCAGGAGAGATCCTGCGGGAGATCTGGACCGCGTAGATGATGGACCAGCGTCTCTACGTATGATCCGCCCTAAACGGGAACATTGGAGAACTTTGTCAATGCGTGACGTGTTTCAGTGAATTTTAGGAGAGTCGAGTAAAAAATTGGTTTTAATAATTCATTTTGGAAAAGTATGGGTGAAATGTTAAATTATTCCAGTAATATTTTTTCAGTACAATGTAGCACAGAAATGAAATATGACGAAATAAGAAATATCTCATGAGGTATTCACGGAGAATGAACGTTTCCTGAAATGTCAGAAGTAATTGAATATCAAAATGCAGGGTAAGAAAAGGTCAGACACCTCAGTCGGTGTTTCGCGGGGAGTTCGTTTCTTAATTGGCTTTGATCAAGGCATCAAGGAAGTTGCTCGTTTTTTGCTGTTCCTTCCTCCTGAATTCCCTGCGATCTGTAAGGGACCATCTTATTCAATCGGCCCTGCTTAATCGACCCGATGAAAGATAACTGGTTGGTAGACTCGCAATTTCGTCAGGTTTCATCAAAGAATTTTACTGCACCAGTTAATTAATTCTTTCACGTTCCATCATTTACTTGAATAAAAATTAATTATTTTTTTTATGAAATTACTGGTTCTTTTGCCTCGCCTTTGATCGGCAATGTCGCTTTCCGAATTTTTTAATTGATATTCCTTATTACATGCTTCATACCTATTTAAGTTAAGAGTTAAATCAATGAGAAATATAAAATAATGTAAATGTTTATTGAATTTTTAGTAGGGAGTACGAATTCGTGAAATAAAAGTCTTCATGAGATAAAAGTGCATATCTGTAATTAATTAATTGCCTGAAACGATAGTTTTTATGGGTTCATCCTGGATTTACAATGAATAGAAATATCAGACGGTGCTTTTACTTTTATATTGCCAATGAATAATGAAAGTAGGATAATAAAAATTGAATACACATGGAAACGATTAAGTGATAAGAAATTCAAATTGATACCACGAAAGACTTATTTTGTATAAAAATTCGTAGTCTATAAATCACAAAGACCAGCGTCTACTTTGCATTGAATGCAAGCTTTTATTTCTATTAAAGATACCAATACCAGGGAATCCGCAGCACAAAGTCACGATCGCAATTGGTGAACGTATTCCCGGTGTCACGATAGCATCGCGAATCGGCTGCCGGATCTTGGCGCAAGCCCGGAAGCGTTGTTAATTTCTTACTAATGGGACGGACGATACAATGACGATCCAGTAGTTGTAGTTTGCATGAGGCGCTCCGGTAACAATGTCGAGGCGAAACGAAGCCGACGTTTCTTCCTTCGTCTGTTCCTTCCTCTTCGGTGCCGCGTGGGAAATCCGTCGTAGAATCCACCACCGGATCGGGTGTTAGGCGATGATATCGGCGCTGGTCGAGACGTTCCGTTGTCTTCAAACGAGTCTGATTCTCAGAGATACTGTTTATCTTCAAATAAGGGAGAATCGGGAATTGCAGACGCTTAAAAACCGATAATAAATAATATTAACATTTTAAATATTATATTTATATTAATATTAACATTTTAAATACATTTTGTTTTATTTTGTTCATAACAAAACTTCATTTACAAAATTAGTATAAAATATTATTGGAACTTAAACTGTAAGAAGCAAAAATTGGGCTGTTTCTCTAGTATAGTAAATGACCTAATTTCTAGTCACTGGCTTAAAATTACATACAAAATTATAGAAAAGGAAGCCAGTGAATAGAAATTGGGACATTTGTTTTAGAGTATTTTTGGAAACGATTCCGAAGTGTGAAAGGAATCATTTTGATTTGTTCGATACGAGTTTGTATCTCGGGAAGAATGAAAA